TCTGTCTTGATATTTAGGACTACATGAATTTTATAAGGAAAATATTGGATTTTCTTTGGAAACATATTTCTATCAAAACTACATTTCATCTAGAATTGTTAGACTTCAGCTATAATTGCTAAGTGTATATGCTAGAGTTATATAAGAATCTAGTCACAATCAACTTAGAATTGGTGGGCCCGCCTTACTTCCTGTTCCTTGTTTGGTTGTGGACCTAGAGCAGACCCATTATATTCGACAGTTTATTTAACTTAAATTTTATATAACTTATATACACTAGGTGATTATAGAAGGAATCTACAGGTCCTTCTAGGGTACATTAATGTATAACATAGGAGAGTTCATTTCGCGTTTAATAAAGAAAATATTGAATTTTCTGGAATCATACTCTATCGCTTTTTTTTTACAAGGAAAACGGCTTCTTTCTCAAATAAAACTCTTATGAACTCACCAACTTAATTGTTGACGCTTTTTCAAACTACTTGTATTCTCAGGAATTCAGTGAAACAGGAAATCAACCGCTTTTGAGGATGGGACGTTAAATCGTCAAACATTTCATTTTTGTCATCATAAGTGTAATTGATTGGAAACATGTAAAACACATATTATTGTATAACTTTTTCAATTATATTTATGATGGTTGTATTTACTTTGGGCACTATTATACTCGTTGTTGTGATACTATACATGAAGTCATCCACCCCCGGACGTTTCCGTCATCCTTGGTTTTAGGGTGCGACACGAGTCTCCCTTAGCCCGTAACTGGAATGCTCCCGTGTTTGTTGGTTACCGCACGGAGTAGTATCACCTCAACCCATCCTACATAACACATCAACATATAACATAACCACTGAGCATGCAGATAATCATATAACAACACAGGTAGTCCTACAGATCTACCTAGCTGGCATAACCACTAGTATGCAACACTAACTTCATACTCAACATACTAACACTGCTAGGATAACATATCCAATGGGCCGGCCTTGGTGCCTTAGACCCCTTAGTATAGTGAGGTAACTCAACTGGCACTGCTGAAGTCCCGCAGATAAAACTCCAGCTGCTGGTTGACAGATTCTCGAACTGTCAACATCAAACAATACCCAATTAATAATTGGGTTCCAAGCCCAAGGTCCATCTCACACTCCAAAGACCCAAAAGTCAAGTAATGGCCAAAGCCCAACATGTGGCCTAATTTTCCAAATTGGGGCCAAACCTTTACATGGTCATAATTAAAGGCCCAACTACTTAGTCCAATCCAAACATTTGGCATTTCTAATGGCCCAATATCATATAATCATCAAGACCCATCTATGGCTCATCTACGGCCCAATATTCCAAATTGGGCCCAAACCCTCATATGGGCTTTACCCTAAAGTGGATTAAATTATTATAGTTCATTTGCTTGTTCTTGGATGACCCATTAATAACTCAATTACCAAAACCCAATAGAAAGGCCCAACTCAAGGCCCAATTAAAATTTGGGTTTCTTACATGAAATGATGCTTAGGGTTAAGTGTTCCTACTTAACCCATTAAGGACTTAATCCATTAAGTCCATTATTGCCTCAGGTGAATTTTCCAATGATTATAATTTAATATTTTGAGTCTGTTAATTAATTCAAGTGCGGGTCCCGATAATTTCCCCAAAATTAGGGTTCCAAGCCATTAAGGTTTTCCAACCCAAATACTAGCCCATTAATCAAATGGTTGGGCTTTTATGTCCATTAGGGCTTCATTGGGCTCATTAAAGTCTCATTGGGCCCACTAGGGTTTGGTAGTCCCTTTGTCCAAACATCCAAACGAGTCACAAACCAAACAAGGCACATCGCCTTCCGACACGGCGACCGGTGGCGGCAGCCACCACCTCACGATGGTGGTGACGGATTTTCTTTTCATTATTCCATTTTGTTAGAAATTACAATACCATCCGATTAACACACACACAAACACCAATAACACACACACACTCACTAATAAACACACACACACACAACCACCTCGTGGTGCCCGGTGGTGGTATATAGTGGCAGCCACCACCTCACGGTGGTGGTGGTGGTTCCCAATTTTCCGGCCAATCTACCCTATACACACACACACACCAAAGAAAACAGAAACACCCATCCATACATGCTTCTGATCTACGAGATGTACCCCAGCCACCCTCTTGGTGGCCCCCGACGACGACATCAAACGTCTTGGGACGACAGCCACCACCTCACGGTGGTGGCGGTGATCTCCTTTGGGTTCTCAGTCAAGCAACAACACCCCCAACGAGACCTTGCTCGGAATCTGGATGCAATCACCACTTGGTGGTGCGTGAAGACGGCAGCAGCATCCTTAGTGGCCACAACGGTGGCTAAAGGCAGCGGTTAAGGTCATCGGAACCACAACAGTGAAAAGAAGAGGAGGAGTCGCATTCTCTGATGGAAAAAAAGGCCATATAACCTTCTTATTAACTAGCTCCGATTCACGACTTCTCTCGTCTGTAATGACAACAGCGGCAGCAACAAGGTGGCAAGATTCGGCAGCGGTGGTCGCTAATGGCAACTCAGCGGCGGCTGAAGAGGTTTCACAGCCTCATGTTGACATTCCTCGCTCCAACTTGGTCGCCAATGAATCTCCCGGTCAAAAGGACGAGACACGATGGTTGGGTTCGGAGGTTAGAGATGCTAGCAACGGTGGTGGCGGTCGAAAGTTAGGGGTGGCGGCTGGAGGGAGGTAGGGGGTGACAGCTGTATCACAACCGGTTTTAGGGTTAGAGTTTGAGAGGGTAAGGAGGTTATATACCCGGCTCCATGCAAACATATAGAGAAAATGACAGATCTGGTCCCTCCCATTCCAATCTCTTCAAACAAAGTCCAACAATTACCATTTAGACCCTGGCTCCTTAAAATCCTTTCAACTTTGACCCAATATTTTACCAAATGGCCCCTCCATGACAATTTCTTTTCAGCTTAGGTCCAGAACTTACTCTTTAGTCCCTGCTTCCATAAATCATTACATATTAAATCCAAATACTACCAAACACCCCTTTCCTTATGAAAATCTTTACAAATTGTGTCCCAAAGTTACACTTTAACCCTTGGAGATTCAAGTCTTGTCATTTTGTTTCCCGAAACCCACTCCTAGCTAATTGTTATCTGATTTTAGACAATAATAATGTAAAATAATGATAAAATTGCTTCTCGGGGTTCCGGGTTTATCATTTTAATTATTCTATTCAAATGGATATTACAATATAGACACCCTAATTTAATTTTGAAATATTTTTAATGGTTGAAATTGCATTGTTTTCCGAAAAAGTTGATTATAAGTAGTTAACTATAGGTTGATTTTTTTAAAAAGTGGTCAATAGGGTGTCCAAGAGGTGTCTTATTAGCAACACCCATTTATTTATCGTGTTTATCTATTTTTTTCTCTTTTTCTGCGATGATTAGACATCCCAGAAACCTACGCCCCTTCCTTTGTTCATTGTGAAACACCCACTAATTTTTTTTTGGTTTTTTCTTTCTTTATTTTGCCTTTTAAAAATAGACAAATACATTATTATAATTTTTACAAACTATATTTAATATAATTTATTTGTTATATTTTTTAAAACGTAATATATCTAACTAATAAAATTTGACACTTTTTTATGATATAAAAAATTTACATGTATATTATTATTATTATTATTATTATTATTATTAACTTTTATAATAAATATCTTATATTGTATTTTTTCCATTTTTTCAATAAAAAAGCATTGTATTTTTCATTTTCTCCAAAAATCCCTTAGTTTTTCATTTTTTCTGAAACCATCTTAAAAAAAGTCGATAAAACTTTCTTTGACAAATTGTTTTGGAAAAAATGACTAAAAATGTCAAATAAAAAAATGTAAAGTAAAGACAATCATTCTTTTAAAGAAGAAAATAAATCTACCATATTTATAAGTTTTTTTCTCATTCTAAACTTAAACCTAAAGTTAATAATAATAATAATAATAATAATAATAATAATAATAATAATAAACTTATTCAGTGTCTTTCGGTCGTTGGACTTTTTCTAAATATATCTTTTTTTTATGATTATATTTATACTATTATTTATTAAAAAAATTATATACTTTTTGTTCTATTAATCTTGTAAAAAATAAGTTTAAAAATAAAATTCAAATAATAATAAAATTAGTATAATTGATTAGTAATAATATAATAATTAAATGATAAAGTTCGTGAAAAACCTCATACACACATGCAGAAAACCAATCTACACATTTAACTGCGGTCCTCTCGGATACTTTCAAGTATTCGTCAGATGCATCAAATGATATACCGTATCCCAAATACCTAAGAGCATCCGTACATTTTTGTATACTATTAAAACTCATTCTTCCTCTAGCATCGGGTTTTTGTTTAAAAAAATCATAACGAGATTCTAAAGCATTACTAATACGTAAAAATATAGCCTTATTCAGACGGAAATGACGTTCGAAAGAGTCATCATCATAAAGACAATTATCGGCAAAGTAATCACATACTAATAAGTCGTGTGCGGCTTGACGATCACGATTGACGACCGCCCTTGTACGAGTAACATTCGAACTTTCTTCGTCGTGAATGTGTTGCACAACGTTGAAGAATGTCTTGACGAATTCTACGTCGTCATCCGAGTCAAAAGTTTTTAAGAATCCATGTGCATGTGTTTTGTGGTTTTAGAGAATGAAGGTTAGAATGAAGATGTAAGTTTTGGTGAAAATAGAAGGTTTATTTATGTGTATTGAATTGAGTTTGAAAAAAAGGACCAAATGACCATTCAACGGTCAATAAACCAATGACCAATCAACTTTTCCGTTTAAACTCGTCGTCGGGAACACGAAGAACAACGACCATGCCCGACCACAAAATGTCGGGGTAGTGTGCACGAAATTTTCTCGTGGCCACATGGACCACGGATGCTCTTGTTGAGAGTACCGCATGGTCTTACAATTTAATCCTCAACTTCCACTATCATTTTTGATTTCCCAATTTATTATCAAATAATTATTTTTCTATCCCAACGAGAATAACTAGTGTTCACACCAAAAATAGTACTTCTGTTCACACCAAAAATACTACGACCATATGTGGCACTCATCAAGTCTAAAACGAGAGGGAACTGCAGGGTCACAAAAGAAGTGATTGGTAGGCATGTCAAGACAGCTATTGGAATAAGAATCCTCGAGTTTCTTTGGCCAAACACAAGGTACAACGTTGCACCAAACGCTACTATCATGGCTGTTGTTGAGATAAACAAGGTGGCCAAACCAATTATCAACCTTGTAGGCAACTTCAACAGAAAGTCTTGCTCAGCAAAACGTGCAGTGAGAATCGACAAAAACATTAATAATGACGTAACAGCTGCGAATAATGAAATGGCATCTGATATTGCAAATATTTTAAAGGCAATGTTGTCGTTGAAAATTGGTATCCCAGTCTCCTGATTGCTTCCTCCTGGCACCGTAATTGCTGCTGCAAACACCATGGGTGATGATTAATGCAGTTGTGATTGTGTATGACTCTGCAGTGGATTTCATCCATTTTTCTCCCTCAATCACCAAGTCCTTGTGTTCTTTTGTAAATACTGTTTGTGGTGTTTCGTTGAAAGAGTTCTTTTGCATGATATTTAGAGGACAAATGAATCTTTCCACTTCCTACAAGATTACAGTATGTTAATTGTTACACATTATGGTCTTTAAATATGAACTATGTCAATTTTGACTCATGGAGATTCATACCTTAAACCATTGTAGTTCACGTTGTATTTGTAAAGCTGCCCCTGATATAAGATTCAGTTTGTTGTTAGGTGCCAGTCTTGCAGCTAGATGCAATAGATTATTCCCTGAGGAGTCTTTAATTGTTCGATATATATTCCTATGTTCGCTCATCTGATAAAGCAGGTTGTAAACCTTTTCTGAGCGATTTATCACAGCATACTGAATAATATTGTGACCATCTTCATTGGCACTCAAAATTGCATTTGGGAAGTGAAACACAACACGTTGTACAAACTCGTATGCATTTTGTCTAGTGGCTTCGAGAATCGGATTTGTGTAATAGTGATGGTGAAGGCTGGAGTGATTTTTTTCCTTAATCAACCAAGATACATATCGCAACAGTTTCATAGCATCTTCATGAATTTGAACTCTCTCTTTAATGAATGGCCATACTATAACATAGACCAAAATGAGCATGTCAAAAAGAGAAATAGACATTTTTTACCTCTCTTTTTTGTTTTTAGTAATACAATGACCGTACTGGTTTGATCATCTTACCTAACGTCGTAGGGATAAATAGGATAAGTGTATGGATGAAATCAGTCACTGCATTATGCCATAGAATGTTTGTTAGAGCGATGGGTTTTTAGAATGTGCAAACAACAACATAAATGTTCGTGGATCATATTATGCCAAAATGTTGTGCAAAAGCAGTCTGCTCTCTCAAGTAATTCAATTGTCCCTTCAATATAAAAAGTGGTAATTGTGCAGGAAGTTTGGTAGAGAAGAGTTATACATAATTTGACAATGTAAAGGAACATGCAGAATCAAGATTAAAAACAACAAACCTATATTTTTCTCATTTAAATCGAGTGGGAAATTTTGAGCTATAGCCATCAGCACAGCATCACTATTCAATTTTGTGTAATAGTGCCGGAACAGATGTTTTGCAAAACCTACATATATATATATATATATATATATATTATATATATATATATATATATATATATATATATTCCAAAGTCAGCAGTATGAATTAAGTGGATTGGTTTTTTTACTACTGGAATTTGATTCCAGTCAGTCGACACTTACGGAAATCTTTAGAGGAAATAACACTAACTAGAAGCTCATCACCAGTTTTGCCAGAAAACAGAGCATCCTTCTGTATATCAGTCTTGATGTGTTGCAGCAAATGTCGGGCTGTCTCGGTATGCATATTAGAAAGAGCCAAGGCTAGTGGTGTCTGACCTTCATTGTCTTTGGCCAACAACAAATCTGGGTTTCTTGCCACCAAGATATCAGCAGCTTCAATGTTGCCAATAATGGCAGCGACATGAAGCAGCGTGCTTCCATCTGAATTTTTCACATCCATTAGTTGTGTGTTCTCCGGTATTCTTTCCAACAATTTCTCTAGGAATTCCGGCATCTTGGAAGTACCAACTGCTATATGGAGCGCGGTGTTGCCATTATTCGTGATTTTGTCTGTCACTGTAACCCTTCTCTTGCGCAATATTTCTTTGACTGACGGCCAATATCCTCGTTGAGTAAATTGGTACAATCTCTGGAGATCGTCTGCTCTGTCTTGATCTTGTTGTGTATCTGTATTCGCATCATTTTGTTATGAAGGTAAAAATTACAACATACAAAATATGTGCTCTGATGTAATTTGATCTCTAATCTAAACATTAGAAATTTTAAAAGAGGATGAAAAAAATATTTGTTTGTATGGACGCTTTTATCCGTTTTTTGTATACTTTGTATCTGTTTCACCTTGTTTTGTATAATTAAGTAGTGCTATGCTCTAGTTTATCTAAATTACCAACCCAAATAAACGATAGATTACCAAACAAGAGATAGATTGTACCTTCAACAACAGGCAGTTTTGGAAAAGTAGGAGGAGAATACATAATCTGCAGTTCATCCCAAACATCTTTTGCACTGAAATTATCTGCCGCATCAGTCTCCTGATGGAGTTTTTCTGTGAGACGTTCCAGAACATACCCAAGTGTTTCTTTGGAGAGGGAACCAAGAATCCAACCCTTCACCAGGGCATCTGATCTTCTCCACAGCTTGTATTGAGTTTGATGGTCACCCACCTTCTCCTTCCATGAAACACTACTACTGGTTCGAGGGCTTACAAGTGTTCCATCGATGAAACCAAGCATACCATGACTCTCTAAGAGACATATCATCTGTGTTTTCCACATACGATACTCATCCCTACCACTCAGTTTCAAGCTAATAAAACTGGGGACATTATAAACATGTGATGGGTATGGGTATGTGTTTTCTTCTCCAACTTCCACTGTAACATATTCATTAGAGCTTGAGTTTGCCATCTTTCTTTCTATTAATTTTTTTTTTATTTCTTTCTGTGAGTATCCGTTCCAACTTGTTAAATATATTTAAACTAGAAGATATATAAGATGAAGTTAATTATTTTGAGATCCACCAAAGGCGCTATAAGATCGCATCATTCCAAAGTAATCGCCACATAAAAAAATTCATTCAGGTAAAGAGTATTAATTACAAAAGTTATTTACGAGAACATTTTAATATGATAAAAGCATTGTGAACCTCATTCTTTTATCTTGAAGGTCAGGTCTGTGGTGCCCACATAGACCACTTTAAAGACCTTATCTTTTAGCAAAGAAGAGATTTGTGGTCGGCCACAAAATCCATATTATTGACGCCAGATCTGTATTTTGGCAAATGAACCAATTTTTTAGTCACGAATAAAATATTTAAATAATCCATATTTTTAGGTTGGAAGGAGCCAAGCCAGAAGGGATAGCCGGGACCCAGCACCTCGGAACACTATACAAGGGTGTAGGAACGGGTGTGCAGTAAGAGCATTCATAATAGAGAGTTTAATGGAAGAGTTGAATGATGTGTTATGTCTACTTGTCATTCAATGGATACAACTCCATCATTGTGAGATGACACATTGACATTCAATGGATTTGGAGTTCAATGATCATTGAACTCTTCAATGGGGAAAGGAAAGTCTTTAAATCTTTAAATAAATATTTTTTTTAATATATTCCATTAAATTTGTAGAGTTTAATGCATTGTGGGATAAAAATGAATAGAGTTGTATGAAATAGTGAATGATGATGTGGCACTCCATTAAACTTTATACAGTTCAATGCATTGTGGATGCCCTAATGAGGTGAGAGTAGGACTCCTCACGTTCTCTCTCCAATTCTTATTGGCCAAATTATTATTTTTTTCTTTCAAATAATATATATATATATATATCTTCTTTCTAATAAAACAGTACATTAACCGCCACGTGGCATTCTCTAAACCCTTCCCAATCAATTTTTCCCGCTCAAACTTTTAAAGTAAAATACCAATACTGTCCTTCGCTTCAACCTCACATTCTTCTTAATTCATTTTACCGCTGCCGATGTTTCTTTTTCTCCATAAAATCAAAATCAAAATTCAAACTCTCCCAAATTCTCGGTCATAATTTACGCATCGAAAATCCCTAAATGGTTTCCTTTTCAACTGTGTTCTTCTCCATTTATCTCTCTTAAACCCTAATATGCTTCATCTTATTTATTTATCTCTCTTAAATCCCTAATCCTCTTCATCCATTTAAACTGGAATGCTCATCTTAAATTCCTTCAATTTAGGAACCGTTTGTTTTAGGAAATGATTGTTTTTCCAAATGAATTCAGCAGGTTACGTTTTCCCCTAATCTTCAATATCAATCATTTTCTTCTTCAAAAAGGTGAGTGGATTGCAAGACATAGCTTATAAATTTGATTAACCTTATGATGGATATTTCGTTTCTATTCATCTCGCGCCACCAACACTTCCCCTTCTTGCGACAGCTCTCCAATCATTTTCCCCTCTTTTATCTCGAGGATCCAAGCAGGTATGTTTCTTTATTGATTGAACTGTTTATATTGATCAATTCTCATTTCTCAATGTTGTTATATCTTTTGAGAATTTTGTTTTAATATGATCACGAGATTATGATTCTTCCAGTTGGGTCACAGAGATTTGAGGAGGCAATGCAAATGGGATCTGGAACATATCATCATTTGAAGGTGAGTTGCTCATCATACCAATCCATTGTGTCATTCTCATTCTACATTCTTTTTTGAAAAATTATTTATCTGTTGAATTCAATGTAGGCTGTTATTGCAGAGAAATATGGTGCACATGTATGTAATGTTGGTGAAGATGGTGGCCATGCTCCTGATATCACCACCAGGCATGTCTAATGTCTTCTGATTAATATGTTGTGATCTTTTTACCTCAATTTATGATTTTAGTATTCTATTTTTTGCAGCTCTAGAGAAGGACTAGATCTTGTAATGGAGGCAATTGGTAGAACAGGGTATTTTGATAAACTACAGACTGCAGTTGACATTGTTGCCACTGATTTTTGAATACGTAATATTACAAATCTAAAATTCTATTAACTATAGTTTTTAAAAAAAAACTTGACATCTATATTACTATTGATTTTAGTATCAAAGTATGACTTAGATTTCAAATCTCTGCGAAGGTCGGGACAAAACTTTAAATCAGGAGAAGATATGATTGAGATTTATAAGGAACTATAAGGAACTATGTAGAGGTATATGAACATGTTGTCACGTTTTATGAGACAATGATTCATTATCTTTGACTTATTTTTGGTTTTTAGACTATCCTATTGTGTCTATCGAGGATCCATTTGACAAGGAGGATTGGGAACAAGTGAAGTATTTTTCAAGGCTTGGAATTTGCTAGGTTTGTTTATGAATCCTTACTAGTTTATAACCCGTAGGAACCACGGTTACAAAATTAATTAAACTTTCATATTAAGAATCAAAATTATTAATCATTTATTTTAAATAAATTAGTAATTAAAAGATATTTTTTTAATTATATAAAATTATAATCATTGATTTTAATAAATACGTGAAATTATATATCTTTATAGTTTGTATTAACTTTATTTTAATGTTATTAATTTCATGTAATTAGAATGAGAAATTCAAATTTTGAAATTTGAAATGAATAGTCAATATGTTGACAAGTGGAATGACATTAATTAGAAGGCATGATAAGGTGACACATGTCAAAAGGAGAATAAACTTATTTTTTTATTAGAATAGGGAGATTATGACTGTTTTGGAGTATGTTTTTGGAAAGAATTTGGATTATGGAGGAATTGTATTCTGTCACACATTTGGTTGGAAGGAAACTGAACAGAATTTAACAATAAAAGTTGGGGTGGTGATTATAGTGGGTGACAGGTGGCGGTGACGAGCGGTGGTGATGGGTGGTGGAGATGGGTGAAGGTGATAGGTGGTAATAGTGGGTGGGTGATGGTCATGGTTGGCGATGTCGGTTGGTGGTGATGATATTGGGTCGTGGGTGGGGTGGAGGTGGTGATGGGTGGTGGAGGTGGGTGGCGGTGACGGGTGGTGGTGGATGATATTGTTTGGGTGGTGAGTGGTGTTGGTTAGTGAGTTTTTAAATTTTTTTTACTTATTTTTTGATTTATATTAATATTATTTGATGATTTTTTTTCAAAATTTGTTCTTAAATGTTCTCGCGATAAAAAATGTTCTCAATTGAACACTCCCACATATATATATATATATATATATATATATATATATATATATATATATATATATATATATGCTTAGGTTATTGTGTTATAACAAATTATTGTGTGGGTGTAGGAATGATTATGGACCAATCATTTTCGTTATTTTAAGAAAGTCATTTATCTATATTATTAAATTAAATAAAATAGAATAATACCATTTAATTAAAAGTAGGGTAAAAAAGTATATTTCCATTACTTTCAAATTATGAAACAAAATTAAAAATAAAAAATTGGATTTTAAGGGATTTTTTTATTATTTTAATATTGTATTCTAATTTTTGTAATAACTTCAATTTTAATTCTAGCAAAATACAAATTCTTACAAATTGCATATTCTGACAGAATACATATTCTAATTGAATGAATATATTGAAAAATATCAAAAATTTAAACCATGAGTTGAAGACTAAGAGCATTGTTAAAGAATAATCATCTATTATTAACAATATTCAAGAAGCTAATGTCCAAAAATAAACAAATAAAACAAATTTATAGTTACATTATATAAAAATATAATGCCATTATTGGAATATTTTTCACATTCTACAAACATACAATGTTTTATAGTAAGTCATTTTGAAAGAATCTTCATTCCATAATAATACAATATTTTATAGTAAGTCATTCTTGAAAGAATCTTCATTCTCATTATTGGTGTGGTGAATCTTAATTGTCATGAAATTGTCTTTTAATTTTCATCTATCATTGTTGTTCCAAGCAACCTTGCTATATTCTGAATGGTCCTGAAACAAAACACATACAAATAATGAAGTTCACAAATGTAAATACATACAACTCTCAACAAATAACATGTAGAAATATTAGACCTTCTATGTAAAAACGGTACTTGAGGTAACATCATGTTCCCTTCACCCACCGTTTATCTCTATTATCTTCTTTTCTTTTTATTTCTCTCATAAAATATTATTTTCTTTTTCTTTGTTTCTCTAATTCTTGTTCATTTTCTAGATCTAAATGAGCGTTGATAATACAAAATTGATCCACTAAAATCTCTTATTCTCATAAACAACAAATCCCATGTTCATTACAACATGTGTACTTAGATATCTTCCCATCAACAAAGAGATTATCTGAATAGCATCTCGATCCACATATTCATAATAAAGACACCGGTATTTTCTTAATTGAAGACAAAAATTTGGATCAGTAAACTTTAATCCTTAATCCAGGTACACTAATGGAGGATAACAACAACAAAACCATTAAATCGTCAACAAGAAACAGAATTCAAAGAGAGAGAGAGAGAGAGAGAGAGAGAGAGAGAGAGAGAGAGAGAGAGAGAGAGAGATAGATTTCTAGAAAGAGAACACGAATCTAACCACAAATCTGAGAATAAAACTGGAAAAACTTCTTACTTCCTTCTCAAACACGAATCAAGAATGAATCAAGTAAAAGAATGTGTAGAGAATAACATATGAAAAAAAACTTCAAATCTATATTGAATTTTGCAAAAACAAGAGAGATTTCACTTTCACTCCAGAAAACTTACAAAACTTGAAGAACGAAGTGAGATTCATGAACAAAATTCGTCGTTTCTGATCGTTTCTTTCAATAAGCAATTAGATCTACAAGATTTGGCTCTAATATTAACTGAGAAATCCAAAAAGAAATGGTGTGCTGAATTGGAATGATAATCATGAATTAATAATCTTGTCAAAGATCTTATATATTATTGATTGAGAAATGGAACATACAAAGAGACTTTGGGGTTTTGCTCAACCTAACTGACTTTGATATAAAAAGGGAGTTTTTTTGGGAAGATTACCTAACAAGCGAAGCTAAAGGCTATATGTATAGTGGTTAAATACATCACATTCCAAATAACTAAAGGAACCACTAAGCAAGAGATACTCCAAGATACGTCTTCAACATAACCTTCACGAACGCTTTCACAAATGCCAACATCAGTTTCAATATTTCCATACTCAACACTGACACTCACCAATTTATTTACATTGTTGTTTATCACCTTGTTTCATTCCTTAGACTAACATCTTTTTTTCTGTCGAATTGGCTTCGTTCCTATCTTGTCATTTAATTTATGTTATATCACTTTCCTTGGCACTACAACCAAGATGGTTGGTTGCCAAGCGAATACATTGGTGTTTTCTCTTAACGATCTTGTTAACTTTTCTTTCAACGAATTTGTTAACGTAGATTCGATCCGAATTTCTTGTTATAGGTATGCATCATTTATTATAACTATCTCTGAATCTTCTTGAGTTGGTTGTGGCTTCCTTATTATCAGATCTTTTTTTTCCGCTATAAATGTTAATATTGGTGCAATGAGTGAACCACTGTGTACCGTTCCATCTCCAACAGGGATCTGAAATCTAATTAAACCATGTATTGTCGATGAAATTGCTTCAAATTTTTTCATGACGCTTCTCCCGAAAATTATGTTATAAGGCGACGAGGACTGTATTATTATGAAGTCTAGCATCTGTTTTATTTTTGGCTCGTGTTTGATGATCCCGTAACATTAACAACAATCATAATATCCCTAACAACCATACCGAATGCCCAAAAAAGCATGTTAAATTTGAATCGGGTTGCCTGAGTTTCTTTTTTATTGCCTCTGATAACCTAGAAATAGAGTGTTCGTACATTATCTCAGTTGAACTCCCACTGTCACATTATATTCGATGGACACATATGTCATGTATATGTCCATGTATTAGGATTGGCTCGTCACCCTTTATCCGGGTTTCTTGGCTTTGTTGTGTTGTAAATATTTTGTGCAAGAGTCCTAAGTTGTTCTCTTTTTTATATAGTGGGATTTTCCCCTTGTCTTGCGTTAGTGAGTCATAATGATTTTGGCGTTTATCATGTTGCTATTATAAATGCACTTCTCATATTTATGATACAGATGACACCAATATTGCTATGTGGTCTTCCGGATACGTAGTAGCTGGTTATTGACAACCTTTCCTAATGAGTATTCAGGAAGACACACTGCAAAATAAGACAACTGCTAGGTTATAAAGCCATACGGAGGGTTGGATCCCGAGTATTTATCTGTGATACCAAAATTAGATGTTGTTTATAAAAAATTATAAGAGTTCCTTGTCCTGAAAACATTAGCTGATCGTTGAGTCTTTGAAGGCTTTTTATAGGCATCTCCACATTCCCTGGTACACGGTTTTATCCGGTAGCTTGTGTTACCCGGGAAAAGACAGCTAGGTTACATGTATTGCTTTATATTATACTATTGCCAAAATCTTGTACTTGTGCGACTTTCTATGTCCTGTTTCCATCTTTTGCTTGTTGTGTATTGGCATTGCCTTATGGGTCGAATACTTTGAACAATTGTACCTTTTCGTTTGTAAACTGATCCGCTATGGCTGGGTCGGTGTTGGTTTGGTGGGCCAAACAGTTGTGCCTTGTTGTTTATGAACCATGCTGCTATGGTCGGGCCGATGTTGGCCTGGCCGACCTAGGTACACAATTAGTGGTCATCACAATAGAATTTCTTCATAAAATTAATTAGTTGTTTATTGTTATAACAAAAATGAACTTTTATCACTTAATATGAACAACTATATATCGTTGTTTAATTTGACTTAATTTAGATAGAATGATGTAATTTTCTGCATTGATATAGGGTTGTTTCATTGCTATTCATTTATACATAATTTTTTTGGAAATTGTTATTTATTAAAGAATTAAATGAGTACTATCAATTTTAAGGTGAAGTATCAAATTAAAAAGAGTACAAACATTTATTTTAAAAGTTATACTGTTATTTTTAGAAGAGATTATTACGGAAATTATTGAGGAATGTGCTATAGGGTTAAGTGACTTTATAGCAAGAGTAAGGTTATCTTCACTGGATTAAACCCATGGAGAGTTGTATGGATTACCATGTAGGAAAGAAAATATACACATTCAATTTAATTCTTAAAAAATTCATAAATTTTTCATTATAATTTTATTGCACCGTTCAATGGTCATTCAACTCTACACTCTCTCTCCTCTATATTATATTCACATTTAATCTATTAAACTCTCACATAATTTCCATTGTGGATGACCTAAACTACCTGGAACCACTACAAATAGGATGATGCCACTTTATCTGAGGGTTCACACTCCACGGTAGGCTTGCACAAACTGGTTTTTTTTTTCGAACCGGACCGGTTCAGAAAACCGGTTCGGTTCTGGTCAACAAAGTTAAAACCGGTTCACCCCTAAACCGGTTCACCACCAAAATAATCCGAACCTTTACAAACCGGTTCGGTTTTCATCAAACCGGTTCAGGATAAACCGGTTCAAAAAAACCGACGTGTTTATTTCTTGATTTGCTTTTTTGGTTTTGTTTTTTTGGCTAAAGAGGGGTTAATATACGCATGGATTAATTTTGTTTTGGAGAATATGCTCAAAACTGATGACTTCACATGCAAAAAAAGAAAACAGTAAGCATATTGCATATATGTGTTTTCGTGGTGTGCATGCAAACTGTAGAGAGAGAAAGAAAAATAAAAAACAAAGAAGTGTTGATACTTGACACTTTGAGAGTGATTGTGGCAATTCTAAATATTTATGAAGAGTTGGTATGTAAAAAAGAGTTTACGTATTAATGAAAGAAAAAGAGAAGAAAATTGAAAATAAAGAACACCCATAAGAAAGAAAAAAGAGTTTACGTATATATGTATATATATGAGCTGTATAAGAAAAGAAAACTATCATTATCATTATTAATATTATTTATATATATATATATATATATATATATATATATTATATATTATATATATATATATATATATGAGCTGTCACTTCACTCTCTTCTTTTTGTTTATAGTGAGCATCGGTAAGTCAAAAAAAAAAAAAAAAAAGAATGATGGAGACATATGCATGCTGGACTTACACTCTTACAGTCTACTTTTCTACTTTTTGGAATTATCAAAAAAAACACCCATGCGCATGCTAGGAATAATGAACTAACCAAAACATGTTCTAAACCGGTTCAAAACCTGTTCTCCAAGCCAGTTCGTAGTAAACCGGTTCCAATGTTTGAAAATGCGAATTGGTTTAAACTGACGGTTCGGTTCTGCAGCGGTTCGGTTCTGAGATGAACCGGTTCGGTTTGTGAACCGGTTTTTTTGCCCACGCCTACTCCACGGCACACAAATTTCAGTTAGGGTTTATTAAAGTGTATGTTAAAGCCCAATCAAATATTAGTAAAGATTGTTGAAGCCCATTGAAAAGTTGTCTTGTCCATTTGATTTTTAGATCAATTGGGTTTTTGTTTGTTGAATCGGTTCACATATATTATTTAAAAATATATGTTCAACTTGCAATGGTCAAAAAACTTGATCCAACAAATTGATTTATTTAGGCCATTATAATTAGGTTAGGTTAGATTGATACGTTTAAATAGTAAAATAAATTTTTAAGTTTTCAATGTTAATTAAAAAAAATTAAACTCTAATTTGGCGTTGATTATGATGACATTCAAACATAACTTATTTTGGAAGGTTAAATTTTATAAAATGTTCATTGTCTTTATAATGACTAATTTAAAGAAAAAGTGAGTGATCGTATGAGATAAATTTTTGAGATGACTCACGTTATATATGAATTTTGTTAATATTTTTTTAATCTTCCATAATATAACTTATGTTAATGATATTTATAAGGGTCTGTTTGATGTTGATCTGACTCAGTCCAGTCATAGCATTTTTCTGACTCGGTCCGGGTTGAACAGGGACAACTTGTTTGATTAGGGTTTTTTGCACATCAGATTCGGTCCAGATCCTCTGATTCGGTCCTCCAAGAAAAGCTTCCTGACTCGGTCCTTTGCACAAATTTCACGTATTTGTCCTTCTCCTTTCCTTGCCCCTGGACGTGACTTCTCATTCTCCTTCAATCCACGCACGGATTCTCCTTCCACTACAACTGGTCCTTCCTCTTCAATCGATTCATGAAATCGATTTCGAAATAAAGCCATTAAATCGATTTTGAAAGCTGAGTACGATCGAGCCATGAATTATCCTTATTATGTATAGAAAATAATAAAAAGAGAACATCCTTGATTCGTATGGCAAAGTAGAAACACATCTTTCTCAGCTTGTTCATTTTGTATCATCGCTGCTTCAGGTCACCTTGTCTTCCTGTTGGCAGTTAACTATGAAAGGACATCTTCTTTTGTTAACAGGTGATTTAATTTTGTTTATTTCAATTACTTTGCTCAATTAATTCTTAGAGTTTGAAATTGAAACCTTAGAAAAAACATGAATGAAAGTCGAAATCCTTTAGATTATAGCCAAGTGAGAGCATATGATCTCTGTGTATTTATGCAACTTTTAAAGTTTGTATATTGATTGCAACAGGAACAACCTGAAGTGAAAACTGAACAGGAATCCCATTTATCATTTCAGAATGTGCAAAAAGGGAAATGTTCACTGTGGTGTTGATTGTTGAATATGATAGTCTATATCGCTCGTTAGCGGTGTCCATTGTTACCATTGTAACACTTTTCATTAGCGGTCAATGGAACAATTTACAGGGAGAAATGATGAGTTTTTTCAATAGGGGAAGATGGCATACCTGATTATTATGATTTGTATGACATTGCAACTTGTGCATATTGGTATAGTTTGGTTGATTTTTGAGGTGCCAAAGTTTCTTTAATGTAATCTATATGTATTGAGTACTTTTGGTATGCGGATAATGGCAATTATAGTTTTTTTTATTATTTTGGGAAAAGATGAATGGTGATTGCTACCGTGTTGGCAATTTGGGGTTTTGCTTCTAATGTTTAGATGAATCTCGTCCCAGAAATGGAAGTGAAGTTCTGCAGTAGGTTTTTTTTTTTTTTTTTAAATATGAATATGAGATTTATGTATCTAGAAATAAGAAAAAATGGCATTCAATTCTATAAGTGGTCTATGCCTTCTTTCAAAATATAAATTGGTAAATAATAAAAGAATTATTATAAAAAATATTGTGTAAGGGTAATATAGTCATTTTGCACAGTCGGTCAGATGAAAAATCAAACAGCAAATTTCAGTCAGAAGTTAACTCGGTCAGAACTTCTAACTCAGTCAACTTCTAACTCAGTCAGCTCTAACTCAGTTAACAATTATCAAACGACCCCTAAGTGTGACAATATTATAAAGTAAAAGTGATTAAAAAACATTTAAATGAGCTTAATCGTCATCGAATAACAATACATTTATATTATTTGTCCCATTTAGGTTATCATACATGTTCTTGTACATACTATTATTATATTAAAAAAAATAATGATTTTTCATATCACTCATGAATTTGAACTCGTTCACTAGTAAGTTTTTACTGAAACAATATCTACTTGGCATGTGGCTAAAAGGTTTTTTTTTTTTTTTTTTTCATAGGTGAAGGCATTTAACGATATAATATTATACACTGTTTGATTTTTATGGACCAAAAATATACTATAATCATAAATAAATACATCTAAATAAATATAAATATACATCTTACTTGAAAATATCAGTAATCATTAGTGAATAGCGCAAATGAATCGAACCATTAATCCATTATGCTTGACATATGTAAAAACGATTGAATTGAATGAAATATATTTAAAATACAAAAGTATACTTTCACATAAAATGCACTGAAGAGATTAATTACTAAAGTAACAATTATTTAGATAAAGTTTAGAGGGAAGCGGTTCGTACATAATATTTTTTTTTTCCATACATAACTATTTATGTTTTATAGAGTTGTACAATACAACATTTTAAAGCATAAATTGTTATGAATAAATAAAAATTATTACGTACGAATCAACTCTTTTAAATAATAATCATAATATCATACATTTAAATTGTAGGGAAGATTCTACTGTAGCAAAAGTAACTTTTTCGTTTGGTCCGATTTGACCAACTATATTAGAAGGTTTCCCGGTTTCTCATCCTACCTAGCATCCGACGTGTACGGTAAGCTAATGGGAAACTGCCACCTATATTTTCCACGTTATCCACGTCAACCCCCCCCCCCCCTCCCCCCCCCCCCCCCCCCCCTTATACAAAAACTTAACATCCGTATATGGAACACCCCTACTTTTTTTTTCCATTTTCGTGTAAGATTCTCTCGAACAAAGAATCAAAGCAATGTCTCGATCCTCGATCTCTTCTTCCAGAAACCCTCCCATCCAGATCGGTAACTTTAGGGAGTTAGATGAGCTGAAGACTTGTGTGTGTGAGAAGCCGACGAAGGAGCGGACTATCACAACCCAGGAAGGCGGTTCTGAAACTGTAGCAACAGTTTGTTAAGCTCTCATGGTCACGATTTCTGGTAATGTTCAAAAATCATACGATTTGTAGCATTTATGATGTTTAGATAAGCATAAGAAAACCCTAATAGTGTAATGTCGTTGATTATTGTGAAAATGTTGAAAGGAATGATTTGCTTGTGGGATCCCTTTGTTTGTATCATTTATTTACTGTATCTAACTCTAAGATCTCATACGATTTGACAATGGTGTATATTTCAGACAACATTAAAAAGCTGTGATTACTTCTTCTGGAAAGACGATGAGATGTCTGAGGGTACTACAAGAACCTTATCAGAACATTGAAGCAACATGTAGATTCAAAGGAGAACTCTGTTGAACTAATCAGCCTTAGGAAGAAGGTTGTGGAGTTGGAGTTTCTGCTTTCAAAGGAAAAGTCAGTTGTTGACAAGCTTGAGAAGAAGGTAACAAAGGAGAAGGAAGCTGTGATGATGCTTAATAACAAATTGGAAGCTTCGATGCAGCAAAATTCCATGTTGAAAGTTTTGGTTGTGATGATTCTATTGGTTGTTGCACTTTGGTGCTTTAAGTAGAAGGGAATATTGTAGGATGTTTTGCTATATGTAGTTGTCTTTTGGTCGTTGATTTAGTTGTCTTTTGGTGTTTATGTACTACTTTTGGAAATTGCAAAGACCCATGTTGGTTGTAGATCCCAACATTTAGTAGCTTATTTTGGAAACTGCAAGACACATGTGTATGAGCAGTTTTGTAATTGTTACCTAATCTAACGACAACTTCAATAGTGGATCAAGTATTTGTTTTCTTTATGTGTGGACCACTATCTTTTTGTCAACTATGGACCATATTGGTCAGTAAAGTATACATAGTCTATTTTGGAAACTGCTTATATCAAACACATTGTCTATTTTAGTCATTAAAGTATATACACATAGAACCATATTGGTCATTATCAGTCATGCAACATATAGCTTGACATCATTCAAAAAATAGCAACCAACTTTCATATTTTATAATAGTGCATAAACTGCATAAAATACTTCTGTTAAATACCAAAAATGCCCATAGTAATCGGCAGTCTTGTAATTGTATGTTACTGCATAGATTGTACTAATGGAAAACATAACAACTTCATAGCATCAAAGTATCACAACATAACACAAATAAAAACATAAAACATATTAATCCTAATCTATAGGAAGTGGTTTCTCCTTTGAATTTCCTAGAGCATTATCATCCCCAACTCTCTTGCCCAATTTCACCTTTATGATTCTTTATGATTTTCTTTTCCTTATCCCCTTCAATATTTCAGAAATTGGTTTCACATGGATTCTCCTTTGTACTTGAACATGTGCACTACCACCAGCTTCATCAACTTAACCAATAACACCACCATCTTGAGTTAGCGTAACTTGCACATCAATTAGAGTGAGTTGCACCTCCTCATGTTCCTACCCTCCTAAGCCACTTTCATTAACCTACAATTAATGTTTCATTAATATTTTGTTATAGTGCATATTAAACTCAAATTAACATTAAAGATAATACATGTCCTCTTGTTTCGTTGACACTTACTCCATTATTTCCATTATTCCATCTTCACTAACCTTTTGTTTTTTTTCTTCCTCGTGTTAACATCATTAGGTCCTTTTGTAGAGCAAGTGGCCTTGTTGTAACCATGCTCCCTGTAGATGCTACACTTGATTTTCTTTCCAGACTTAGATACCTTATGGCTAGTAAGTCTTTCAACAGCACCCCTTTTCATTTTAGTCACTGGCCTGCCGAACATTCTTCTGCTAATAGGTGCCAAAGGTGGGATATAATCTGTTTATGGCATTCATGGCTGCAATTCTATATTTGTAACTTTTCATTTATGTGGCGGTACTAGCATAACATCCACATATGCTTCCACATCCCTATTTAGGTATGAGATACATGTTGTAGAATGCAAACATCCGTACCCATTCAATTTCCACAACCTACAAGAACATGTCCTTATGTCAAGGTCAACCTCAAATGCCTCGGCTGTTGCCCTTACTTCAAATTGGTTTAAGCCACTTGCTAACACCTCAAAATGTCCCATGTGCTTTTTAAGCTTGTTTACCTTATCCCTTATTTCTGGACAAATCTGATTACCCCATTGTTGTCCTCTCACCTTCATATTGTACAATCTCTCCATCATGTACAATCCCAACTCTGCTAACATTGTTATAATTGGCTTCTTTCTTGCATCTATAATTACAACATTAAAGCTCTCATACATGCCATTCTCAACTGAGTCACAACATCTACCTGGTTGGTAGTATGCACTAGACCAAGTTTTTGGATCCTTGTCCATCATATACTTATGTGCCTTTGGGTTTAAAATTTCCAATTCTTTCATTGTAGCTTTAAATGTATTCTCAGTTGATGCTTTTGATGCTTTCCAAAACAGTGTCTCATAGTGGGCCCCACTATATCTCTTAAGTAAATTCTGACAAATGTGTCTAGCACACTGTCTGTGCTCTACAAAATGCATCATCTCCTTCACAACCTCAATCAACCCCTATAAAAAAAGAAATTATTTTTCTTGATGTTATAATATGAAATATAATGAATTAAAGGATCAAATAATAAAAACACATACCTTATGTTGATCTGACATTAAAGAGTATCCATTTCCTAAGTTTAAATGAAGATCATCAATAAGAAGATCTAAAAACCACTTCCAATTCTCCTTGTTCTCAATAGATACCACTGCCCATGCAATAGGAAAGATTTTGTCATTTGCATCCCTACCTATAACATAAAGCAACTCCCCCTTACAAATCCCTTTCAAGAAACACCCATCAAGTCCAATTATCTTTATACATCCTTCCATCCAAACTTTTTTCACACCATCAAAACACACATAGAACTTGCTGAAAGAGTTCTTCCCATCAGGCATATGATCCACCTCAAGTTTAACAGTGGAACCTGGATTTGTTCTCAGAATCTCTTGGCTATATGACCAGATTTTTGCATAGTGATCCTTAAGATTACCCTCTACTAGTTCCATTGCATATCTTTTTTCTCTTCTGCATTGCCCTATGCTAACATTCACACAAAACTTTTTTATCATTGCTAGTCTAAGTTTCCTCACACTCATTTTCTGCCTATGTAGAATTTGTCTGGTATAGTGGCTCCTAGTCCATGAATATGTAACCAATGAGCCTAACTTAAAATTCCTAGCACACTTATGCTCATCCTTCAAATACTTGATCTAAAAACTAGCTTCATCACTCATACAAGATGCCCATAGTCTAAATGTGCATGCACCTTTACAACACCTAACAAGAAGTCTATACCTTTCATTCTTTTCATACTATAATTGGTACATATTAGCCACTCCATAATTGCACAACATGCTTTTCAATTGTTTTGGATCCTTAAATTTCATTCCAAGTATGGGCTTTTGTTTTCCGGTGTATACTCTAATTGAAAATGGAATGCATCTGTAGGGAATCATGCATTTCCATCCAATTATCATCATCTACAAAGTCATTTTCCTTATCATCTAAACCCCCTCCAACACATAAATGACTTAAGAAAGGATCATGAGCTGTTCTGTTCATAGGGATAGCATCTTCATCATTTTCAATCTCCACATCCCTGAGATTATTTCCATTTTCCACATCATCAACACAAGAGTCGTTATCATCACCTTCATTTTCTTCTTCATCAAACCGCCCATCAATTCCATCACCATCATGGTGAACATAGAAAGAAATTATGCCATCTGTGCCATATGCATCATAAATAAAAGCAACATAATCTACATCATTTAAAATTGGTCGAATGCCATCACATAAAGCTTTTTTTGGTTCACAGTAGGAAAGTTTTTTAATCTCCTCATGCATGAAATGTTCCAGGAAAGCGACACACTCAGAGTAAGTCATAGAAGAAAAATCAATATTATTGAAGGAGCTTTTCACTCCCCCAAGTAAGACAAAGGATTACGAGTAAATACACCTTGGTAATTGAGCTCCACCATCGCAAACAGTCCAACATCAGGATTAGGTTGTCCCATTATGCTACTAGCTTCATTTACAACCCGATCGGCAGAACTAATATCTCGATCGGACGCAACTGCGAAAACCCTAACTGTTGACTCGCCGTTTACTTCCTGCATAGTAAATTGAGGTTGAGGGGAAGGAGACGAGTGAAGTGAGGATCTGTGTTAATATCTTTCATTAAAATGACGTGGACCAAATATACACATCATTAACAATTGTAATTTAAAATAAATGATAGGTAGGATGAGAAACCGGGAAACCTTCTAAAATCGGTCACAATGGTGTAATTGACATCTACAGTAAAATATTAATGGTCAATTGTGAAAAAATTAATATAGTTGGTCAAATCAAACCAAATGAAAAAGTTACTAGTGCTACAATAGCATTTTCCCTAAAATTGTATTATTATATTTTCAACATATATGGGCTTTTTTCTCTCATAAGTTTCCACGGTTTTAATTTAGGGAAATCTACAAGGTACCATGTTTAAGGAAAACATAAAGTCATTTTTCCAAATTAGTTTAATTTTTTTTAGAAAAAATATGCAATTTTGTACTCGGACTTTCAAGAATCAACTTTCCATTTCTTGGAAAAAATTAGAAATTTAATGAAGACATGGATCAAACTTCAAAGTGCGGACATGAGTTTACATATAAGTAGGGCTATTAAAATTATACTAAAGAAAACCAACCAACATGTGAACAACGGAACCGAAAAAGTTGGTAGCCAAAATATTTGTGTGTGTGTGCGTGTGAATCATCTAATGATTCATTTTGTTTGTTCGTGAAAAAAATATGTAGAAAAAAAACTTCTTACCTTCCTACCAAAAATTTCCTTCTTATTTGATCTTGACCCTCTCTCTCTCTCTCTCTCTCTCTCTATATATATATATATATATATATATATATATATATATATATATATATATATATATAATATATATATATATATATTATATATATATAATTGTATATTTCAGTTGTCAATTGTGTTTAATATTTATAGTTTTAAAACAATGATATAAGTCATTTAGCCGCATTAGATAATAGTTGCTACCACGTTAAATTACAAAATTAAAACATTACTTTAATGTTACTTCAATAGAACTTTTAGTAGTTTTTTTTGAACATCTACATCTTTATATATTAAATATTCTAGTAAGGTATTAGAATATTAAAAGGACAATAGTTACAACGGATTTAAAAGACAAGCATTCCAAACTACAACGGAGTTGGAAGCTCGATTATTCAACCAAGAAAAAGAACTAATCACTATACTATCAAAAATTAAATTTTTCTTGACCTGTAATCGCCAAAAAGTGTGGATTTATGTAGTTGCCAAATAAACCAACATGAAGTTAGGACAATCACTTCCAGATGACGTTTATTGGCTGTAAAGAGGTTACAATCATCAATCCATGATAACCATTCCTTGATCGAAGGTACTATAGGTAGCACCAACCCGCACCATGTCGCAATAAGATTCCAAACATCAACCGCTACCTAGCATTAAAAAAATAGATGTTGTATAGTTTCTACCCC